GCATTCAAGTTGTGACCATTAGCACTTAATGTTAAAATGCAGTGATAACTCATTTTTTATTGTGATAATACAGGAATTTATCATGTGTCTTCTAAAAAAGGTACTCAGCATTTTCACCAACACTAATGCACTCAGCACCAAGAGAGCTGAGTGCATTAAATGGTCTGTATTTGTATAGCGCTTTACTTGGTCCTAAGGACCCCAAAGCTCTTTACACTACACACAATCATCCACCCATTCACACACTGGTGATGGCAGCTACATTGTAGCCACAGCCACCCTGGGGCGCACTGAGAGGCGAGGCTGCCGGACAGTGGCGCCACCGGGCCCTCTGACCACCACCAGTAGGCAACGGGTGAAGTGTCTCGCTCAAGGACACAACGACCGAGACTGTCGGAGCCGGGGCTCGACCGGGGCAACCTTCCGATTACAAGGCGAACTGCCAACTCTTGAGCCACGATCGCCCCATTAGTGCACTTACACATTTTCACTGGCTTCCAGTCAGTCCTAGAGCAGTTTTTGAGTGCTGCTGTTAGTTTATGAATAACTTAATGGCTCAGGGCCAAAATATATTTATGATGTACATAAATAACAGTCAATTAGCCCTCAAGGAAGCAGTCCGATGGTAATGCTTCCAGGAAACGGCATTTTTCTGAATATACAGGAACTTCTTTTGTGATCTAGAACGCTCTTTTACCATTTGTAGATTGTAGTAAAACTCTCTGAATACATACAGGACCAAAGCAACTCCTGTTTTACCTACTGATGGAAAGATTGTCATGGTCCAATGTCCTAGAGTCAGAGTTTTGAAGTTTATATTCTTTTTACTGGATGTTCAATTTGGTTCCTACCTTGTTTGTTGTGTATATTTCATATTCCTTTGTTTCTTGTGGCTTTAAGTTCTTCGTTATGTACATTTGTATTCCAGTTAAGGCCTCCACCCTTGTGTCTTTAAGTTTAAATGCATTAGAGTCTTGTCACTGTGTGGAGTAAAATTAGTTTCAGCTGTTTCTTGTTATCCCGGTGTTTCCCTTATTGGACCTTTACATTGATAGTTTTTTCATCACCCTAAAACAAATGATTTGCTTTCAATCTGGCTCTTTGCCTTTGGGTCCTCGCACTTGCTACACCCGACAACTTATGACAGGTCTCCCCATCTCCTCTTTGTTGGTGTGGTCTTTTTGTGCTGTGAAGCATTTTGAGCAGGACCAGCCTCTCTGGGCTGCCACAGCTCTGCACTGTCCACAGCCAACTAAAGCCCTATTGCAGAGCTGCACCGCAGAGCTAATTAAACCATTATCTGCACGCTGCCCCAGAGTCTTCGGCTCAACTCCAGTCCCATCAGGATATCACAGACACAGGAATATGCCCTTCATTTTCTGAAAGCAAGAGGAAAGAAACTTCTTCCACTAATAAAGGTTAGAGGAGATGGAACAAACAACGATGAGTTTGAATGCTTTGTAAAATGCAAATAAATAAAATGCAATGAATTTATATTTTGGTCATACTAAAACATGGAGAATATATGTCAAAAAGGATAAAATGCAATAGATTTTTTTTTTAATTTGATGGAAGCAACAGGTCTCAAAAAAAGTGTTTTATTTTTTACTTCATCAGCCACAAACTTGTTTTCACTTAGTGAAAGGTTTGAATTTCAGGCAGGCCAGTTCAGCATTGTCTTGCTGAAATATGAAGGCCTTGTGTGGCTCGAAAACCTCTATATACAAATTATATAAAATTCAAATTTGTCTGACTACAGAGTCGTTTTCCTACTTTTCCTCCGTTTATTTTAAACACTGTGGGCCGGAGGCGATGGTAGCATTCCTGGATGTTTTGTTCACGTATGGCTTCTTCTTGCATGATAGAGCTTTAACCTGCATTTGTGGATGAAATGGTGAGCTGTGTTCACATACAATTGTCAGAATCATGCCTGTTGTTTACAATTTCATACTGAACATTATTCTCAAATTGTACCACAATTTGTTTATGCATTTCTCTTTTTTTGCAGAACCTTTGCTCGTGTACTTGTGAGAAACACTGCCTCTCTAAAATGCTTTTTAAATAAAACAATTATCTGCAATATCTTCCTCCAGCTGTACCCGTTTTACACACTTTTGTTGTCCCGTCCCAAGTTTTTTGAGACCTTTTGCTACCATTAAATTCAAAACAAGGTAATGTTTTTCTTAAAATGATAAAATAATTAACTTATTAAATAGAAGACCTTCTGTGTCAGGAAAAAATTGGGGTTTATGACTTGATTATTTGCAAATCACTGCATTCTGTTGTTATTTTACTAAATATCCCAGTGTAACATCCAGCTCTTGTAGTAATGACACATTTAGTCAGATTGGGGTACTGGTGATGATTTGGGTTCCCTGGTGTGATGTTGTCCCCGTTTTCTTTGTGGTTAACTTTAAGGAATTAATGAAGAAAAGCAATGTGCCGAAGTCCATGTAAGTCAAAAGAGAAAATGAGGTCAGACTAAGTCATTAACTTAAAGAAAAGTCGTAATAAATTAAAAAGAAGAATAAACCAAACTCACCTTATCTGCCGCTCCATGAGTGAGAGTGTGCAGTCCTTATGTAATGTGTGCCAACTTGGCACAAGGAGCAAAGAAACTTAGGAACCAATCAGCAATGAAAAAAAAGATGAGGAAATGAGGTGGTGAAGTGTGGGTGGGGGCTACAAGGCAACAGGGCTGACTGCTGCATCAACACAAATACAGTGACTATTGACAAAGATGAGTATGTCCTTTACCACAGTGGACCTTTAGTATATGTTGCAGTTAATAAGTTATCATGAGCAGGATATATCATTTCTTATGGCTAAGCAAGCTCTTCAAAGTCACACTGTTTAAACGGCACCAACAGAAATGTCTTTGAAGCTGTGTGAATATTTCGTTTCCAAGAAGAAACTGTTTCCATAGTTTTATCCTGCTTTTTTGTGGATCCAGGTAGTGCTGGAAAACAGTCTATGCTTACAAAAGGTCCCAAGTCCATTGCAATATGTAGCCCTGGCTCCAGCTCCCAAATAGGATGAATAACTGAGCCAGCAATATCTCCTCCCAGTTAATGTCAGTGCTTCCAGACCAATTCACAAACATACTCTTCCCCAAACACACACACCACACTAGACTCCATGTTTTCATAAAAAACACACACATGCATAGAAATTCAGACTTTTAAAAACTAAGGTGAGGAGTTCTGAAATAATGATGCAATCATGCAACAAGAGTATCAACAAAAGCCAAACCTTCAACACAACTATCACCGCTATCAACACTCACTGAATTTTTAAACCCATTTGAGAGCAGTTTCAGGTGCATCACGTCTAGTTAGTGTTTTTTTTATGATTAGGAATCTTCTAGGGGATTCTTGATGTTACTGAGCATGTGGGACACACTTGTAGACGCCACCTGAAGTGACACAATCTGTTCAACAATCTGTGATGGGAGAGCCTTTTAAAGCTCACACAAAGAGTTGTAACCGAGATAGCAAACACCTCTGGGTCTAATCTGGCTCCTTTTGGAAGTTGACACTTGGTTATAGTTTAGTGAATGTTGAATGGGCCAAGTATGGCTAAATAGTCATGAGCAAGGCTCAAGAGAGATTATTGTTGTCTGGGCCACATTTGGCTAAAATGCCACAACACACCCAGCATCTGGTGGGCATGAGAGGAAGTCAATCAGCCAACGTCAATGGCCAAAGCCAAATGTGGCCCATAACAAACTGCAGATCAAATTTAGGCCAGACTTGGTATCAAGTGTTTCACATACAGCAATGCTGTGACTCAACAAAGCACCACTCCAAGCCAGATCATAGGCTGTATATAAATGTCATACTTTCCATTTGGAGCCTCAGCGCTCGAGTATTGGCCACTATCATGTTTTTTTGTTTGGGACCAGAATTGAACATATTTGGATGAAGGAGTGGGGTTCTAACTTTATCATATAAAGCTAGGATCTTTAAACAGCTGATACTTCTAGAATTTTATTCACAAAACCTGAAGCACAAACTTCTAGGATGATCTGAACCACACACCATTAATTAATTTCCTAAAAAATTTCCTAATAATTTTCAACTATTTAAATACTGGAGTTAAGGTCATGGCTGCTCTGATTGATATATGCTTTATTAATTAATTAAATAGTTGAAAATTATTAGGAAATTAGGAAAGTGAATATTATCCATCGAGTCCTAAACTGTGCTTTTAAAACCAGGCTGTAAAAATGCTTTTTAAAGCATTTTTAAAAATAGGAGTCAATACGCACTCAATCGCTTTTGGAGGCAGCTTCAAGTGCCAATTAGAAGAACTGTAGTTTTTGGCTCTCTGTTTCATTTTCCAATCCTGGAGGTCACAGAAAAAAAATGATCAGCCACTGACAAAACTGAAAAGCTTCATCAGCTTAATGTGAAGAAGAAAAAACACTTTGCACTGCACTCAGCACTGATGGGAAAGACTCCGTGTAACCCTCTCAAGTCAGTTGTATGTTTGTTCTGGTTTTGTATATATATATATGAATGAATGAATGTAGTGAAGATATATTATTGAAATGCATGATTTGTAGATCACACATAATGTTGGCTAATCTTGTAGATATAACCAACATAGAAGCTGTGATCTTTGATTCAACGCTGCTGAAGGCATTTCATTATCATAATTCCATATAATTACACTGACACATTATTTTAACGAGCCTTATGTAAAACAGGATGATAGGGTTCTTGAGGAAAGACCCAATAATAGCCAAAGGCTAAGATGAAGAAATTATTTTAACTCTGAAGGGATGATCTCTATTCTATGTGACCTCCTCCAAGCGTTCATTCTGCTGCACTCATTCTGTTGAGGACCTGGTGACACTTTTTGACAACGACACAAAGGGTGGGTAACACAGGAGGACCCCGTTCTCCTCAAGCTGCCCCTACCCCACGCCAAAAAGCCTGGGAAGACTCAAATTCCCCCTCTACCTCAAAACACACCAAAGTGTCTTCCATCCATACCGCATAGCAGCTGCATCCAGGCGCAGATCTTGTAGACCGTGGCAGTGTTGCAGAAGAAGAAGAGGGCGAAGCAGCCGATGCAGGTGATGATGAGCACCATGGACATCAGCACGAAGAATGAGGCCGCCTTAAAGGCTCCTGACGGGATGGAGCCGAATTCGTAGAAGCTGCCCTGGCACGAGAATTCCCGGTTGGAGTTCCCGTTACCCACGCAGTAGTGGAACAAACCGAAGTAGCCGGCTTGAGGTGTGTTGACGCTGTCGCCAATCCAATAAGGCTGGAAGAACACCACCACGTTAATGATGGCCAAGCAGATGGTGAATATGGCCCACAGGATCCCGATGGCCCTGGAGTTGCGCATATAGTTGTCATGGTAGATTTTGGAGGCTTCTTGCGAAGGCAGCATTTTTCTTTCCCACCCCCCAAACCCTCCTCACCCACCGTACACAACAGCGCGCCAACCTGCTATTTCTTCTTTTCTCGAACTAACTTCTTAATCCGCAAGTACAAAGGATGAAAATAAATGTCTATTCTATTGAAAATCTCGGGAACAATTGTGCCCGCATACAGTGGCTGTTCCCTTCTGCATCCAGATCCTGCTTTTTTCCTTTCTTTTTTGTTTTAGTCTCACATCCACACGCCCCACTCCTCCTTCCGTTTTCCTTAGCTCTGATCAGTCACTCAGTCAGCGGTGAAACGTGATTCGGCTAACGGGAAAAGGCTCCCCTCTTCTCCGCTTTTCTCAGTGTGTAGAGAGCGGACGGCCGAGCTCACAGAGCGAAACGCTTCGGCCACGGATGCGCATCATTTCAGCGCTTCTCGGGCTTCTCGTATCCGCTCTGCTGCGCATCCAGACCAGGATGTTCGAGCAAAAATAACACAATTAAACTAAAACAAAAACGCTTCAAAACGATGCGTGACAGCAGTAACTTTCACCGAGCTGATGAGGAAGCTTTCTGAACATCAGCAGAGATCCAGAAGAAATACAGAAAGACACTCGTGCAGCTTCTGACATGCTGCACGAAGAAAACTCGCCAGAACACAAAGAAACCCTTACACCCCAAGTGTACGCTGATGGACAAATCAGTGCTCCAACACCGCTGCACACACTGACAACCTCATGACTGTGGTTTTGGATATTCACTTCCTCTCCTCGCTCCCTTGTCTCTCTGCTCGCTCTCTCTCTCTACAGCCAAAAGCACACACGCATCACTAATCAAATAAGTGCTGACATTAATAAAGGGCACAAGATGTAAACATTTCTTACAGCGAAGAAAGACATTTGCAGCTCTCTGCTGTAACCAGCTCTGCCCAGGAACTTTCCTACAAACAAAGCTAGATTGCCAACCCAGCGGATCGAGGCTCCCGAGAGTGTGATGTTTCTCGTGGTTTCATTCAAAATATCTGAAAATTAACTCCTATATCAATTAACAGAAAATGAAGATCTCCATTAATGTTCAAGACCCCTTTAATCTCCTGATAGAAGCAAAAGCAGTCATTTTAAACATGACCACTTATTTTGATAGTTCAAAGGACACATCTAAGCTACCTAAACTGGGTTTAAGGTTTTAATGTTCTTTCCCAGTTTTATCTACTGCACCTACTAGAGGAATGAAATGTAGCCAATATAAAGGTAGTCATCGGTTGTATTTTGGTAGTGGCCATAATAACAGAGCTGGTAGTTTTCGTCTTGTGTGTGAGTGATCATTGCAGATCATGGTCCCTGTGGGAACTACTCCAGTACTTATACAGAGATATGACAGCTGTGCGAAATACAGTCACCAAATTTAACAGGTTCATATTTGAACTCAAACTTACGGCTGGCTTAAAAAGGGACTAGTGTGAGTGTCCAAGCTGATAGAACAGAGACAAATAGGCATTTCAAAAAAAGTTTATTGGTTTTCCAATGAAATAAATAAATAAATAAAATTTTAGACCCATGAAACTATTTAGCTAAAAATATGACCAAGAGCCATTTAAAATACATTTAAGTCAGGTGCAGGAAAAATAGAGGGTGATCAGGCCCTTAAGATGCAAAGAAGATAAAGTAAGACATGTGTCGCGCCTGGCGTAGCAGACGTGTGGAATGGAGATAAGGACCCAAGATGCGGACTGCTAAGTAGTGAGTGAGCTTTATTAACAAAAGGTGAAATACAGCACAACAGGAAGGGGGAGCGAGGAACAGAACAGAAAATACTCTAAACTGGGAAAACTAAAACTTAACAAAGCCAGAACACGAACGAGGGTACCTTGCAGGGAGACTCACCAGGAAGCCGGAGGCACAAACACAGAATAACGGAGGGGAATAACGCAGACGAACCAGAAACTATACTAAGACAGAAGACACGACTAAAATACACTCAGAGAACACAGGGAGATTACACACAGGTGGGGAACACAGCTGGGAGTGATTAACGTGACGAGACAAGGGAGGCAATCTGAAAACACTCACATAAGACGCAGACCTTCACAATAAAACAGGAAACACATACTCGCAATGACACAACACACAGACTTCACACAGACTGGGGAACACAGAACATAGGAACATAAAACGTGAACAGAGAATGTACAAGAACCCCAAAATAACCAAAACCACAGAATAATAATAACATAAACACAGAGTCGCAGACTCCGGATCCTGACAACATGACTGTTCAAACTAGCTATCCAAGATGCAACAGAGTGGTAAAAACAAATAACTGAATTGCAAAATACAAAATTTACCAACACTGTTACCAAATGTCTTGATGCATGCTCAATCATGGAAATCCCAAAAGTTTTTTTTGTTCATCTGGGAGAAACGTTTCGTCACTCATCCAAGTGAGTGATGTGAGTGACCGTTGACCACTGATCATTGATCAATGGTCTTTGATCAATGGCCATGAGTACCATTCACAGAGAGTTGGGGAATGGCTGCAATCACAGCATTGTAAGATGGTGAAAGATATACTCTTAGGCCCCCTTCTCAATTCAGAGATGGTCTTTCCCTTTTCTTGATTCCCCGCCAGCGTTCCTCCCTCTCCAGGATGTGTACATCCTCATTATTGAAAGACTGTCCACTGGCCTGTAGGTGTGAATAGACATCTAAACGCTACGTCCAGATGAACAGAATCAGCTTTTTGGGAGTGTTACCAAATGGATGTTTGTGGATTCCACCACTGACGCAAAGGTTATGTGGGCATTAATGACCGTCAGAGTTAACTTTCAGCTTGGAGGAGACAGTGATCACAACTGAGTGTTTCAAGGTTTATTTACAAGTGGTAAGAAAAAGAGAGAAGGGCACTACAGGTGAACTCAGGTGGTGTTTGTAGAGAAGGGGCAACTGTTAGACGTGGCTGGACTGATTCAGAGAATTGCAACAGCTGAGAGAGTTGGCAAACTGTGTTCTTACTTGTGGTGCAGATGAACAGAGCTTGAGAGAGGTGCCGGTGGGCAGGTAGAGATCTGAGGTGAGTGGCTGGGAATCAATGGAGAGCAGGCAGGGGCGTTATGTGGCAGGTAGAGCCTTGAATCCACAGGGAGTGTTGGACTGTGAGAGTGATGAAAGTGTATTTCTAGTTGTGAACTCTTGAATCCTTAAGGGAACACAGGTTGATTTTCTAAAGGGTGGGAATCAGACTTCAGGCAAGGAACTGGGAGACTGGGTTACAAGAGAAAGCACAAAAAAACTAACTCTAGACTTGAGAGAGCCAAGTTACCACCACTGTGGACAAACCAACTGTGAGAGAATGGAAGATATACAGCCACAATGTATATATGTACACAGCATGTGTGAAAGTCAAGCCCAGAAAGTGCAGCTTGTACCAAGGGTGGAACATGGACCTGCCCAGCTCTCCACCTTAAAGAATAGAGAAAACACAGATGAACTCAACACCTGGCCAGATGCTGATAGACTGGGAAAAACTGGTATTAATGGTATAACTTAAATTTCTTCATAATATGACTTTAGATAATAAGGTTTGACTAGTTTATTAATTTTATTAAGCAGAACATTAAATAGAGCATAAGGAAAACTGTTGATTAAAACATGGCTCATGCAGTGTATGAAAGTGGGCCGATTACATTTGCCTTCATATCTGCACATCAAGTGGTCATTGCCTGTCTGGCTAAAACTGACTGCTGGATTTGACTTTTACAATCTTCCACATAGATTAATGTCACCACAGTATCATGTCCCCTGAAGAACAAAGCAGTTCTAAGACTAAAGAGACAGATCATGCCAACGTAACTGCCATGAGGATTCAGGTATAAGATAAACTACACAGACTGTGTCAGCTCAGCTGGGTTCAATTCTTAATTCCAGGAATGTCTTTTGAAGTGCATTCTTCATGCTGTCTGTTGCAAGAACTGCTGTTCAGAAACGGGTGCATTCAGTCATGCTCTGAAAAGGCACCCCAACGTCACCCCGTGAAGTATAAATGCCCTGTCCTACTCTGCATACTGTCTGTGTGCAAAAGAACTTGTATACAACGTTTAGTTCCACCACAGGAAACTGTGAAGTCTAAACAATGTCACTTAAATTATGTTCTTTTAGTCAGTGTCATTTGGGTAGAAACAACCTCTGACCATGGTAGGCTAGTGCTTCTTATCTCTGCTGCAGGCTACAAACTCCAAGATACATAAGTCACTATCAGCACAACAAATCCTACTTAATCAATGGAGGATGAGAAACAATCTGGGTAACATAGACTCCAAGATGTGACTAGAACAGAAATGTATGGTATCATTAAAGAAAATATCTCAAAGCACTTTGATCATGTTAGCATTTGGGCTCCCACCATACTTCTTCTTCTTTTTACAGTCTGTACCCTATTTGGATAAGAAAGCCACAGACTAAGTTTTCTGGTAATTCAAGGGGGCTTGACTGTAGGGTTTAAACAAAAATACATTATTTTTAAGCCACGTTATTTGTCAGATGAATATATTTGTGCTCCAAAAGGCACCAATGCAGTTGAGAAGTATAGTTCAATAACTTGAATTAGCAGAGGTGAGGCTGAGCAGGCAGCTACAATCAGTGTGGCAATGCCCCTTTAAGCTTTATCAGTAATAAATGTAGTAAAGGGCAATCTATTGGAATTAACTTGCTTTGGCAGCTAGCTCAAGTGGACATTAAAGGACACACACACACACACACACACACACACACACACACACACACACACACACACACACACACACACACACACACACGTTACAGGGCCTTTCCCTGTCATGTTTTCCCTGTGCCTGCATGGGTGTCCTCCAGTTACTCCATTCCAAAGAAATGCATGTTAGGTTACCTAATTCTAAGTTGACCATCGATTGGCGGTAGATAACGTGCTTGGTGAATAAAACATTGTATGAAAATATAGTTAAAATGTCACTTGCAGCAAAAAATGCTTTAGTCAGTAAGACTAAAAAATTACATTATATTTACAGAGATCATGTAAACAAAGCAAAACAGATTTACATACTCGGTACATCATCAAGCACAGTGCAGCTAAAAAAACGATTTAGAAAAAGACAGCAAAAATCTAAGTGGAGTCAGAAATCTGTCTAAGTTATATGGGCTGAAGTTTATTACTCCACATAGCTAGACACCTGTCTAGTTTGTTATTTGTTATCTATAATGAATGCTCACTGCTGGCAGTGTTTCTGTAGACACGGACCTGCACTAGTCACACTGGAGGGAAAAATCTTTTTCTAAAAATGTTATCCACATCATTCAGGACCTTTTGTTTACTGACAACACCATGTTATGCATCAGGCACTGGAAAATTTGCCAAGGATTTTTTATGTTGTGTACTGGAAGCTTTGAATAAGGGTTAAAGTAGACTGCAGTTTTAGATGGAACAAAGTACAAACAGACAGCACATGACCTGCTCGATAATATCAAAATATAAAGCCCTTCAAAATAAAAGCCCCCCCCCCCTTGTTAACATTGTCCAGTCTATGACAGAGCCAACACACACAACCATTCACTCTCACATCCACACCTACTGCCAGTCACCAGTTAACAGATCATGCACGTCTTTGCAACCTTCTTGTTGTGAGACAAGAGTACTAATCACTGCAACAATATGTGATCCACTTTTTTTATCAAACAAAAGTGCCAGTTGTATTTTCATTGAAGACCACGTTTCATGTCAATTTGTTGTAATTTGATGCAATAAGTGACCATATTTAAACAAGAAGTGTTCGAATTTATCAGCAAATATCAGCAGAATCTTGTTACGGTAGTAAGTTTAATGCATTCCCCCCCATTTGTTTGTTTCAGCTGAGCCTAATCCCCCAGCTATCACTCCAGATAATATAGTGAATTTGATTAAAATGTTGTAACCAAATAATGAATGATAGATTGAAGCTATATATAAGGGACTTTAGTGCCTATTTTCAGTAACTCTTCCTCTTCTGTAACAGAACCACATTGTGTTACCTCGTAATGTTTGATAATGTCAGCACTGATGAATTTGGAGTGTCAATTAAAGAGGGAACTCTTTAACTGAACTCTTTAAATAAGACTTCATGATTACTGAAGAAAAGGTTGAATGTTTAGTTTCTACTCTAATTAAGCGCTAGCTAATTGAGTTATTGTAGGGACGCAAATAAATGTATTTTCGTTTTCCACCCCTATATTCTGCACTTTGGGAAGCAAAAAATTAAAATTTTACAAAACAAAAGCAAAAAACAAACAAACAAACAAACCTCAGCTCATTTTTTCTGTATGCATAGACCGAGCTCTATAATTTCTCCAATATAGTTTCTCATATGAAAGTGGTCTGCTAGGATAATTAGAAAGGTAAGTAAAGTTAAGGTTAGTAAAATCATCGGGTTTTTTTACTTTAATTTTTAACTCGGTCTTTATTTCCGCTCAAATACTGTGATCAGATTGTTTACCCAGCCGTAGTAAAGTAGTAGCGAGTCCTTCCAGCTGATCCAATCAGGCACCACCATTTAAAGGGGGTGATGGCTGTCACATGGTTAAACCTGCTTCCTGTTTATCGGCTGTTTTACTTCGGTATCTGTTGCACAGCTTGCGACACCACTCGGTATTGCTGAGGCTGTTATCCACTTCTATTTTGCTACCTTACAGCGACAGGACAGTTTACTGTATACATTTAACAGTTTATGGTCGTGGTTTCTAAGGAGACAGGAAGACATGGCACTGAGGAAACGTGAGTAGGCCGGGAAGGATCCTGGAGATTTCCTGACTCCAGGTGACGGGGAGTTTTACTTTATTGGTGCTGAGAGACGAACGAAAGTTTACCCTATGTCAGAAAATAAAACGGCTGTTTATTTATGTTGAATGAATTTACCAGGGCTTTGATTTGGTGGAAAAGACGAACGATAGGCTACGCCTGGGGACCTGAGCTAGCCTGTTAGCTAGTCTTGCTAACCTCTGTAGCCTGCAGCGGCAGCAGCTGTGGTTTGAGTGACCGGCTTTACGGGCTGGCTAACAGGCTGTGTTTGGAGAGTGGAACGGTTCGCTGGTGCCCTGAATTCAAGAAGACTCCCCGGCTCCGGCTCCCTCAAGCGGGCAGTCAGGAAAAAGCTGGCTGGGAAGGGATGGCCTGGTCGGTCTCCCCGTCCCAGAGGACAAGGCTCAGCGGTGTTTGAAGGAGGTCGAGTGCGGCTCGAAGCCACCGCAGCGGGTCGAGGCACTATGACGGACATCCACCTCCCCACGGCCGGCAGCTTCCCGGCTCCCGGGCTGTTGGTCAGAAAGAGTGAAGAAATAACGGATTTGATAGACCTGTTTTCCAAGACGCAGTACAGGGCAAAGGAAGTCACTCCGCAGGTACTTCTCTTTTCTCTCTACTTTAGCTTCATGATAAGTTACTACTTTTGCTAAGGATGCGCCAAATGGTGTTTGTATTAAATCAATCAATTTAAATGATGAGTTGCACTGAAGACATGCTCAACTCTGCAAAAGAATATCCAAAAAGTAGTACGTAACTTGCATGCATGCTTTTTTTAAGTTGTATTGCTCAAGCTAGACTCTGATGATTGTGTGGACAATGTTTAGACATCTGGCTAGCAGTTTGACTGCTCAGTGTCTAATAATGCAATCTATGGGTATGCATTTGGACTGTGTGGCTAGAATCTGCCATACCAAAACAATGGGATCTTATTGTCTCTCCCCATGAGCCTTTTGGACTATAGTATTATCTAAAGGAACCATTAAGGACTATTAATATGTTTATCTCCTTCAGGTGGAGGCCATAGAGACACGCTGTCTGCAGCTGTTTGCCAGAGATTACAAGTACAGCATCATCCAGAACACCAACGGAGAAGTGTGTGGACACTACCCCCGACAGATAGTTTTCCTGGAGTATGAATGCCTAGATGTGGAGAAAGACAGGTATATCTCCACTGCTCAGTCATCCCATCCTTTTTCCCCTGATACAAAGTTCAGCCTAGTTACAAATTACCCACTTGTTTGTTTGTGTGCCTCTTCTTCCATGCACACCTTATTATGGTGTGGGGACCAAAGATCATCCTCCGTCTGCAGCCCCTCTGAACACATAAAGGAGGCAGAGGGGTAAAGTGACTGTTGTGTCACATGGAGTCAGTCACATTATAGCAGTGATTCAAAAAGGCCCTCTTTCTCATTGCTGATTCATGTAGCGCGACAAATTTCCAGTAGAGTGCTAGAAATAGCAGCAAAATCCTTCATATGCACAGCAAGATCTTTATATCTTGTCAATTAGTTTTACACAATTGAAACTCATACATTGAAGAAGAAATTTTCTTTCAGTTAAAGTGATTCCAAAGTTCATTTCAGCTGAAAAATTGTGGAACACAAAAACCTGATTGCAGTTAATGCATGCAACCACATGTATAACTGCACCCAGGGGAGTATAGAAGCAACTTATCAGTTGACAATTAGAAATGTTAAGTCATTTAGTAATCTAAAGTAGCAAACATGTATGAGGCCAAAATGCTGGCAGACTTTACATCAGAAACTTTTCTGATTCTTTCTAGGTTAGACTCTTAATCTTTGCACAGTTACCTGTAATGATGAAGCAAAAATAGCTTTTTGGAGTGTTTTGTTTAAGACTTAAATATTCCTTTTGAATGTATTCATGTGCAGCCATGTTTCCAGTTTTTAAGTGTCAGTTAAAAACAAAATGCACTTTCTCACAAATGTTTAAGCTGCACGTTAAATTGAAAAGGGCAATGGACTGTGCATATTAACTACTGAGTACGATGCAAGAAACATGGTTACAAAATGTATTTATGTAAATGGATTTTAGTGGAGACAAAAGTGAGAATCAGGAAAACTGGGAAATTGTGTTTATCACTAAAATGAATGTTTAAGATTATCCAGAGTTGCACAGGGTTTCAAGCATGTTGCAAAAATGTTGCAATGATCTAAAGTTGGATACAAAGTTAATACCAATATTGCAGCTTGCATCTGTAATAAATGTTTGCATTATGGGGTAAAAGTATGCTGAGTCATCTGTTAAGTATCAGGTATTGACTCTAATCGTTGACTGACCTCTGGCCGCTTTATCACGTTTGATCCCTTTACTTTAGGTAATCCTTAGGTGTTTCTGTGACTGCACTTACATAAGGTTAAGTGTGGGCAAAATATTGGTGGCTTTTTAAAAACAAACTAAATTTGTAGCGGAAGTGTTTAAAGAAGCTCCTTCAGCAGTGCAGTGTTGCTTTCCTGCCACTACTAGCGATTTTTATTAGTTTAAACTTTCAAAATGGACCAGTCCAGTGATTTAGTCAGGTGGCAGGATGTATAGTTAAAACAGTCAAACCAGAGCAATGTATGAAAATGCTGAGGGCTTTCATGTGTCAGTGTGCTAAAGTTTTTCTAAGAAAAGAGTTTTTAAAAAAGCTGTAACTGTCAATTTCATTTCTGCTGTAGTGGTTGCAGTTATTTTAGTTTTTGAAGCTGGGGGAAGATCGGAAATATGAGCGTAAAAGCTTTTAAGATTTCTTTATTGTAAATTTGCATAAATGAGGCTGGTTTCATTTGGAGCAGAAATTTGTTAACTGCTGGATTGTGTTGTGTAGTTGATGTGCAGAGCATGTGGTGGTTTGTGTGTACAGGTTTGAGAGCACGGTGCAGATCTCTAAGCTGCAGGACCTAGTGAACCGGAGTAAGATGGCTCGCTGTAGAGGGAGGTTCGTCTGTCCAGTCATCCTCTACAATGGCAAGGTATCTGTATTGGTCTTGGTTACATACAACTGTTCTTTTTCCTCCATGTGACAAAATTCTGATGTCAAAGGTGTGACCTCCTCATGCTGTGGTTGCTCCTTAACACTGACTCTTGTGAAGCAGGGGAAAAAAAGTACTCAAAACAAACCCAACCTGAATAGTTTGAGGTTAAACATGCGGGTAAAATGTGTACAGTGCTAACAAAGAAAAAAAATTAAGCTGAGTTGGAAGCAGAAGCTCGTTTGAATTATGTATCCTTCTTGTGTTGTTGTGAGGAACCAAAGGGAACGTGGGAACGAGTAGAAGATGAACAAGGGCCAGAGCATCTCGGACCCAATTCAGCCTGCATGCATCAAACTTAAGTTTATTAGATCTGTGTGGGTGCAGTGAACCTGTAACACTCTAAAGATTACGTAGTGCCAGCACCAGCTAATGTTACATCTGTGTTAAGGCACGAGGCGCTGAGGTACAATGATTCTAGGGTACTAATGCTAACTGTCCGTGCTATTTTGCGAGGCCATAATTTTGGTCTGACTGACTTTGTGGAGCATTTTCCTCCTTAAGAAGTAAAGTAGCTGAAAGTTCAAAATTTTCAGTTTTCTGAATGTTTAAATTTGACAATGACTGAAATATAAAATGTTGTATTCTTTGCTTGCCATATTTTAGCATATATGCCGATCATCCACACTGGCAGGCTGGGGGGAGCTGTATGGACGCACAGGCTACAACTACATTTTCTCAGGTAAAAGCACACACACCTGCAAATGGCTTAAAGTTAGTATAAACGTGAAGTTGTGGCTGACTTATTTTCATGATAAGTTTCAGTTTAGATTCTGACCTGTGAGTAGCTGCAGCCCTTTTCTTTCTGAGCCTTTGTTTTGACTGAAAGGTTGCCTCCACTGAAAATCACCAGCTCATCAGGGATGACTACAGTTGTTTCGGTTTTAGTTCCCTTTTAACATCAGTTGAGGGGAACGTGTGGGGGGAGGAACTGCACCGAATATTAAGATCACTTAGCATTTCTCAGGCTGCAAAGTTCACTGCTGTGGTACAATAGCTGTACTTCCTGGCATTCTGACAAATGGTGCCATTTCTGCATTGCTGCACACACTGAGACTCTATGAACTAAGTGCAAAGATTACTTCTGCATTACAGAAGCTTTCAGAAAATTCTCCAGAGACTTGGGATTGACTTTTAGGAAGACACTTGCTGTTAATGGAGTGAAAACTTCTAGGCTCACACATGCAAATTTCTTTGTATTTGACTACACAACTCTTAAGAGTGCATTCACTGTTTACACCCCATTTTAGGACTAGTGGGTGGAGCAGGGTCCTAGTTTCAAGTCTGCATACTGGTTGGGCCTTTCTCTGTGGAAGTGTCTCCCTTTGATGTGGGTTCTGCTTGAGTACTCCAAAGATGTGCGTTAGGTTCAGTGATGATACTACGAGGTGAATGTGAGCTTGAGTGGTTGTCTCTGTTAGCCCTGCTATACTCACAACCTGTCTAGGGTGTACCTCACCTCTCACACATGAGGTGAGGTAGGTTCCAGCCCTCCCATAACTCTTAAATGGATGAGTGGAATAAGATGGCTGAATGATTTCCCACTTCCATTAAGGTGTTAACTTTCCCCTTTTATTGGAACAATGTTTTATCTGATGCTGCACTTATGCAAAGTCTGCAACAATTAATATTTCCAAGCCTGTATGTGGAGAGATTGACCCGACTAATGTTTTCCTGCTATTTTTATAATTTATCTTTGTTTAGGGGGCAGTGATGACACATGGACGGAGTCGGAGGAGTTTCCAGAGGATGACAGGGTAGTCAGGTAATGGTTACCTTACCTGCTGTACACACAGGACATTTTTTTTTTAAATGTATTTATTTTGTAATTTAAGAATTGTGTTAATCTCATGGAGTCAAAGTCTCATCTGTGATAAACAAATTAATCCATTCTTAACACTGTCTAATAGGACTTTTGTTTTTAAGAGAAAAGTCTGAGGGTAGGTTTGATGTTGTCACTGACCTGATCATACAGGGTTTTAAAAAAACTACAAACAAAAACCCACAGAATTTACAGCCTGGATATTTGGTCTTGAAAGTTAAATCTTATATATTTTTTTTCTTAATCCAATCATTGGTTGACAACTTGAAAAAGAATTTAATGCTGTAACACACGTACATTTAGAAACTACACCCAGCAAATGCCCAACATTTATATGCTATGTGCATGTTTTCACAATCTCTATAAATTGGGTTTCTTTAAAGTGCAATAGAAATGACAAGAATTTTAACAAGTGTTAAACGTCAGTCGTACTTTAATCATTTTTTGTTTTTGCTCATTAGATGAGGAGCCAAAATATCTCAAATATTGAGGTCTAACCATCTGCCTGGTCACTGGTTATGCTCATGTCTAGAAACTAATAAATGTACACACATCTGTGATGTGCCCCCCCCCGTCCCTGCTATATTTTGGAAAGTGATTTGTTTTCCTTCTCCAGTGTTTTAGATCATTTAATAACAGTTACTATGTGTCAGATAAATTGTCTATGCTATCATTTTTTTTGAACATGATAGCATGTTCACATTATCTCTTCACTTTTCTCCTCGTCAGGAACGGTGACTCCCATCTCTTCGATAAGGTTCGAGGTTATGACATTAAGCTGCTGCGTTACCTGTCAGTTCGCTACATCTGCGACTTAATGGTGGAGAACAAGAAGGTTAAGTTTGGCCTCAAGTAAGGAACAGACTGTACTGGTTCATTCACACTCTGTGCCATTTAGGTCACAGTTTCCTAGAAGAAGAGGGGTTAGAGGGAGGCTTCTGATGTGGCTACTCAGTTTAGCGTGTGTGTGTGTCCCCAATTTACTATAAACAGCTATGTCTAGAGCACCGCAATCACTGCTGCATCATTCAGTGTATTATAAGAGATATAGATATATAGCTACATTAATAAGCTTTTTAATTAATTTTAAACAATATTGTCAGCTTCAGAAAGGGCAGAAGCTGCACTGCTAGTTTATCACATTACAACAGCTTTTAATAAAAGGGTTTATTTCATGTTTCTGGGTGACTGCTTATAATGAATCTCATTTGGTTTCCTTGTGTCCCTGCAGTGTGACGTCATCAGAGAAGGTAGACAAGGCCCAACGCTATGCAGACTTCACTTTGCTTTCTGTGCCTTACCCAGGTAAGGACCCTTTCACCAGAGCTAGGTGTGCTTTATCAGCCAGTAATGGAATATGAGTGGAATTACAGAGGCGGTCCACGAACAGCTGTGACTTGTAGAACAAAGCCCTCGATTGATAATATAGTAATAAATTAAACTACCATTTTGGTGTTTGTGCTTAAAACTTTATTACTACTACTCTTTCATAACATGTACCTGTGCTGTCTACCCAAATTAAAGCTCTGGGATGTTGCACTTTAAGCTAGTAAGATTTGACAAATTTTACTAGCTTAAAGCATTTAATTATTCATTTTTCTGCTTTGTATAAAGTGCATATTTGCCATAAAACCTTCTGCCAGGCAGAAAATATTTGGGAACTGGACATTTTATTTATATTTTTGTATACTCTCATTATAGCTTGACTTTGGGTTAATTTACAGAGGAGTTTGTTGGGGGGGCACATATGATTGTTGGGTTTCCTCTGTATTGTTGTAGGGTCTACTTTACAATATAAAGCACCTTGCACAACTGTTGTTGTGATTTGGCGCCGTACAAATTACATTTTACCGTTGTTTTTCAGGTTGTGAGTTTTTCAAGGACTACAAAGACAGAGATTACACAGCAGAGGGTCTGGTGTTTAACTGGAATCAGGTAGAGAATCTGCTCAGACAGATCAGGCACTGGTCAGAAGTCAGCTCTGTGTTGAGCATTCTTCTTTGTATCTTCTGACAGGACTTTGTGGACGCTCCTTTGACAATCCCCAGGTGCTTTACTCACAACTTGAACATTGACTGGACTCAGTACCAGGTTAATTCTCTTGTCTTCCTGCTTTTACTGAGTTCTTTATCTGCCATAACTGTCATGTGCTGATATTACTGGTGTTATAGCTCCATCTGTTGTCCAACTTGCACAGATCTTGGCTCGTTATTCATAACTTGACTGCTTGTACACTAGCGTCACTAAGTTTTTTATTTTATTTTTTTCCCCGTGATGCTTTTGCTGTAATAGGTTGACAAACAAAACATGGACAAACTGGCGCATAGTAATATTATAGTGTCTTATAGTAATGTTTCTCTGTGGGTTGCTGGTGTACTCGTGCTGATAAAAACTGTACAGTCAAATGGTGTCTGACCTCACAGAATGTGGTTTTAGAGTCCACGAATGTAAAGCTAAATGCCAAAATGTGCAGAAAATGATTTTCTTTCTGGGTTTTAATCTATCGATTTGGTTAAATGTGGTTGGAGGAACAGGCCAAGTTTTGACGCACAGTGTGAAGGACCTTTCCAGTTTAAGATGTAATCCAGTAAGATCCTGAGTGCAAAGTAAGGCTTTTATCAAACAATTAATGTTTGTTTCTCTGTGAAAACTGTCCAGTCATGGGACCTGGTGCAGCAGACCCAGAACTACCTGAAGCTACTTCTCCACATCATCAATAGTGATGGTAGGTGTGTGTTTTCTTGTTGTGGATTGGAGGCAGCTCAATCATAATATAAAGCAACAGTCAAAGTCATTGTAGAAGGAAAGCCTGCCATTATCTAGCTACCTTGGTAACTCCCCTGGCAGTTATTTTATGTTCTGTCAGAATGAGTGGTAATCTGGGATGTAATATAGAATCAACTGTTGAATAAGAAACCAGGTTTAGCATAAGGTTTTGTAGCTAATTCACTTCCTGTTCTGGATAATTCTCTGGTTAATGGTTAACCACCACCAAACAGCTGAAGACTTTGAGTAGACTGTCACTGTTTCAATGTCCAACTTCTAACAGAATAATCTGAGTAGATATTTAAGGAACTACAATGTCAAAATGCTCAGGTCAGTTTGTGTCAAAACATTGGTTTTAATTCAAGTTTAAGATGTCTTAAAGCGTTCATCATGATAACCACAGTAGCAGAACTGTTCCTTAACCCGTGTGAATTTTCCAAACAAATGTCACAAAAAGCATATTGATTTTTTTATTTATTTATTTTTTTCCCGTGCACCAGGCATAACGGAATTGGCTTGTTTGTCCCCAGTATACCTTTTTTGCCACTCATGCTAGGGCCTTCACCTGGGTCAGAATTTTCTCCAGGACCCAAATCAGACTGAATACTTTTTCTTTTCAAATATTTATCTGTTGCTATATTGTCTCACTCACAGCATGGCCATTATGTAATTTCGTCTTCTGTTTTACTGGCAGTTGGCAACCCATTTAATTGGAGCAGGTAGTTGTACTGCCCTCTAGTGGAAGAGAATGTAACCAGATAATCTTCCACGGCACATCTGATCATTTCTCACGGCACAGTGGTTGGGAAACACTGCCTTAACCTAATTAATGGTCTGTGTAGCCATCTCAAATAGCCAAAAAGTCCTTAAATAAACATTAGTTGGCAGTGCTTTATTTATTGTCTGTGAAGGTTCTCAGTCATCCAGGACATCGTAGTCTGAGGAAACTTGGAAAGAAAAGCGTCTGGACTTTAAGTTGCTTGAAGAGGTTTCACCTTCATCCGAGAAGCTTCTTCAGTTCTAGTTAGAACCATCTTAAAGAAGTCCAGACACTTTTCTTTCCAAGGTCCTTAGTTATTTTTTGTTCATTTATACTACATCAAATATTGGTACTATTTTTAATTCCATTTATTTAGTATGATTTAGAATACAGTTACATATGGTAAATGGCCTGTATTTGTATAACGCTTTTACTAGTCCCTACTAGGATTATTATGCCAATTACTGTCTATTGTTTTGTCCTTTGTCAGAATGCAGAGCAATAAACAAGTTTCTCTGCATTTCCCTGTACATCTATAAATTTCAAGCTGTGGTTCAGCATCCTTCATGAAGGCAGTTCATCACAGAGCTGTTATACTGGCACTCAGTCTGTGCCATTGCAAAACAGAATATGCATGTTGCTCAGTCTCGGTGCTGTCATCTTCACTTGAATCATTCAGTATTGTTTCCAGTTCAGTACACCAGTTGAGTTCATCTATCGAGTTCATGTTACACAACACTTCTGTACTCTGTGGTGCATTATGTACTCTACCTATTCATAATACTCGTGCTTTCCAGAAGGTGCTTACAGCATTGACCTCTCAGGTGTTGTCATTTCAGATGATAGCGGCCTCCTGGTGCACTGCATATCAGGATGGGACAGAACGCCTCTGTTCGTGTCTCTCCTCAGGCTCTCTCTCTGGGCAGTAAGTCTTTTCTATTCTTGAGTGGTTTTTAAATCTTTTTATTTCCTTCTGTTTCTCCACATGACACCAAACACCTCAATGGGTCCTTCAGACCTTCATTAGACTCTTGTAATCCCCAGCTTAATCAGTCTGCCACAAATCCACCACTGCTCCTTGTGTCAGTTTTTCTGTGCTGTAATTGACCTCGCTGTATTCACCACAATTTGTTTTATTTTATTTTTAAATTCCAACTTATGCAAAAAAAGTCTTCTGAAGATGTGACCCACATGGCAATCTTCTGAAAAAACTGAAACTGTTGATCTGTGGACAACTAGTCAGCTCTGTCATGGTGTGCTGATACTGTGTAGGGCACAGGCAAAATTAAGGCCATGGTGACTTTCTGAATCTTGTTCAGAGAGCAGTTCTGCTTCCTTCTCTAGACTCATGACTTTGACATGTTTTACGTTGGCCAATGTGACACAGCACCTCTGTAAAGGGCAGAAATGCCAACTTTATTTTTTTTATTTTTTAAACTATCTGTTCTGTTTCGGAGATGTGGACAAAATTGGTGAAGCCAGTGTAACCAGTACCTGCAGGAACTGCAAAGTTGATTCAAGCACTTTTAGGCTTAGCTCACCAAAGCTACAGTTGGTGGTCCACAAGGCTGTAGTTGAAATGAATCCATGGCATGAGGAACATTGTGGAAAAGTAGCAGATTATTACCTTTTTATATAGTTACAAATGGTCAATATAATTTTAATTTTTTTTTTTTTTAAACCGTGGATAGTTTCACTTAACTCATTCACTGCCAGCCATTTTCAAATCAGGTAACTCCCCACTGCCAGGGTTTTTGAGCATTTTTACTCATTTTTGAAGAGCCACAGAAAACTGTGTTATGATCATATAAACGCTGAACCTACCAAAATGAAGAACAGACTCTTCTTTCATCCAAAAAAAAGCTTGTTTCTACCATTTTCCATTCTTTAGTAATCAGCTGTAGAAGAGAGGTGGGTTCCACCAAAAATGCCTGTTTTGACCAAAAAAAGGGAGAAAACGAGCTTTTTGTGAGAAATAAATTTCAAGCAGAAAATTGCCTTTGACACTAATATTTCTTGCTTTGTGACACCTCTAACATATAAAATAGTTTTTCACTTCTATAAAACAGAAATAACACTGAGAAAGGTTCTTTTATCAAAACAATTTATTTACAAATATATGAAAAAATAAAATGTATTCTAGCCCCTCCCATTGAAAAACGTAATTGACGTCTATAGACGTCAATGGCAGTGAATGAGTTAAGTGCATGCATTTAAACCAGACTGCTGTCATGCTCCTATGTGCTTTTCCTGAGAGGTCTAGTCAGAAGTAACGTGAGCACTTTACTTCTACTAGACATGTACACAGTACCTGCTGAAGCCTAAACCTACTAGACTGCTGTTCGACTCAGTTATTCCCATCTTTCACAGGATGGTGCAGTGCATGCCAGCCTGGAGCCCACAGAGATTCTGTATCTGACTATCGCTTACGACTGGTTCCTCTTTGGGTAAGAATGTTACATCTGTTATTTCAGGACTTCACAGCAACTTAAGATAAGTTGATTTGGCCAGCAGAAATATGTCGGAGGTGATTTGGACACTTCGTAGTGCCACCTGACTTGAGAGACCCTTGGTTGTCTACAGTACATATTTGAGTTGTGACTGATTAATGGGAAGGGAAACTTGCGACGTGCAGCATTTAAGATAATTTTAAGCCTTTTTTGATCCCCTCACCGAACAGCTTAAACTCGGTCACTCATTTTCAGATCTTTAAGCTAAAATGTTTAGCTTTCAGGTTCAGTTTGTTTAAAAGTATTCAACTAAATCTGGTGCTATGAGTTTATCCCAAACACACTTGGATCAGTTGAATATATGGTGCATTGTAGTTTAATTATCAAAGTCCTTTAAAGCTGCCGTCAGGTGCAGATGTTGATGTGCTTCATCAACGTCTTCGATCCATTTCAGCTCTGCTGGTATTCTGTATTTATCCTCTTTAACTATGACAAAGAACTGGTCAGTTTAGAACTATTATATAATTTTATATTATAGTATTATTATGCTGAGGAGGTTTGGCAATGGAAGCTTTTCAGTCATTCCTTTTTTTTCCCCATTCAGTCACATGCTGCCAGATCGACTCTCCAAAGGGGAAGAGGTACTTGTATTTAAAATGAAGTTGTAGCTCATTCTAAAGCAAGTAAAAATGACACTTGACATAATCATTTAGCTTAATGTGGAATAACACCTAAATGCGTTGAGTGAATTTTGGTTTGTGAAAGGCTACATGCAGTTTGTGTACCCCTTGCTATTACCAGTTTCTATTTTTGTCTTAATGGTTTCTGTTTGTTTCATCAGACATTCTTATTTCCTCCTCAGATTTTCTTTTTTTGCTTCAATTTTTTGAAGCACATTGTTTCAGAGAAGTTCTCTACAGTTAAAAAGCAGAGGTGTGTTTACCACATTACCTAGTCAAATTCCAGCTGTGTGGATTCACTATCAGGTGTTCACTAGTCTTTTAATGTCTGACCTTTAAGTTTTAGAAGAAAGAACTCTCACTTCAAAGACGGTGATTTCACTGTGGAAGAGCTCTGCCAGTTGAGTGAGTCACTTTTGCATGCTTTCATCTGTAGAAGTTTTGACTGATATTTCATGGATCTAGCTAATTAATTACAGATATTTTGGGAGCCTATATTATTATAATACCCAAATGCACCACTAAATGACACAGGAAATCATTCCTGCCTGTACAACTCCTCCATCTAATGCACAGTACACACTGCAATAGTTACTGTAGAGAACGTGCAAAAGGGTGTAAATGACAAAGTTTTACAGTTTAGAGTAAAATGTCAATCATACATATATATTTATATATATATATATATATATATATATATATATATATATATATATATATATATATATATATATATATATATATATATATATATATATATATATATATATATATATATATATATATATATATATATATATATATATATATATATTTTACCTCTGTAGTATTCTGGATATTTAATAATTGAGCTATTTGTGTATATTAGAGCCATTTCTTATGTTTTTTAAACTTTGTAATATATTGTATTATTTAATTAGTTCAGTCTGTTACTTTTGTCTTGGAGCAACTGTAACCACATAATTTCCTTGGGGATTATTAAGGTATTCTGATATGTAGTATCAAAAGTTCAGACATACCTAATCTGTTATTTAATCTAGTGAAATGTAAAGTGTTTAGCTTTGTTCTGGAATAGTAAGGAGAGTGATTGTGGAGGCCAGATCGCTTTAAGCAGAAATCCAATTGAAATGGTTTGGGATGAATTGGGCAAAGAGGACATTTTAATCATATGGTTTACTGGTAAAGCAACAGGCCTTTCAGCCCAATTCTATTTTTCTTCTGCATAATCCATCATATAAAATTGAATCAAATGGAAAGTCTCTTTTTAAAACTTAGTACTTAGAAATTAGTTTTAATCATTTAACTTTATGCCCATTAAATCATCTCCTGGACAGACAAGTGCAATCCAGTTCAAGTACCAATATTAAACAAAAAACGATTAAATTATGCAATCTTTGCAACATCTGTTGCACATAAAGAACATTAAGGTGCAAACAATTCACCTAAAAAAACAAAAACATTAAAACCCCTCAATATTCAGGAAAATCAGGAAGTGCTTTAAACTGCAGAAAATGTGTTTGACAAACTCGACACAATGTAACTTAAAACATCCTGCAAAACTGTGCTGGCTCTCACTTTAGTGGGAGAAATTTGCATGGACATTTGCAGCTAGCATTTTAAATTTTGGGTGAAATGGGGTCAATGCAATTCTTAAGCATGGATGCAAATGTTCGTTAGTCGTGAGCGAATTTTGTCCATTCATCTTTAAATGCCCAATTTTCATCATCCACTTTACATATTTATGACAAAGCCATCTTCTTTTACTCATCTGTGCAGCACCAAGTCATAATTATACTGTCAACATTCCTGAGCTCCCAAGCTAGGAATTTAGCAACCCGCACTGAAGGGTCTGCATGGGTTTCCTTTGTGTTTGTGTTGGTGGTGCAATATCACCACCAGCTGGTTGGAGTGTGGACCTGAATGTCACTGCCCCACATAGTTGCCCCACGCGCCTGTTCAAAAGTCAGCCACGGTAGCCGGCAGGAATAAAACATGGCAAATGAGAAAATGCTTTGTGGTCTGGGGGAAAAAACCCTCTTGGGGTTCAGATTTGGGCTGGAGTCAGGATGTTGGGGACCCCTGATCTATACGTTACAGCACGTCTCACTATGGTCTTTAAATGACTTTGTGCTTTGTCACATGGCTGCTGAAAACAACCATCAGAAGTTGGGTGCGCTGTTCAGCAACTATACATAGGCAGGCTTTGGCTTGTATATCTATATAGACATCATAAATGTGGCATCAAATGCCAATCATTTGGCACTAATGGTGTTATTCAAGAATTCTCAAACTCTTGAAAGAAAGGTGTTGAGCATTAAGCAGTCTCTGGTGCTATGCTAAAGACTGCAGTGGGAGCTCATCCTACTTGCCTCTGGTCTGATGCAAGGAGACTTTAAGTGCCTAAAGCAAAACAATGAGACCGTGATTTTAAAATGGTACTTTAATCTTTTATAAAAGTGCAAGCCTAAAATCCAAAACTTGCTCGAAGAAACTCTTAACCTCTTAATGTGGTAGTCACATCAGGGTGCTTTTTCATGTCAGACTCGGTCAGTTTCATAGGTGCAAATGGTGCTTTGTTCAGGCCTTTGCTGTAGTGTTTGAGGACGACACTGTCTGAGCAGCAGACATGTGACTGCAGAATCTTGGGGGAATTGCTCCAGCCTTCCCCTGTAAATGTCTTTGTTTTATACATCTAAATACTATATTTAGCTGGGGTGGGGCGGACAATACGGGAGCTTTGGGAACATTGAAGGAGGGGGGTAAACCTTTATTGGTTGGTGCTACTCAGGCTCTCCTGTGTGACATGTTGGATGAAATGCTGTTTGCTTTCAGAGTCCAGGGACCGTGGCAGTGTGACTAGTTTGAGCAGTGACTTTTCCCTCATCACTGAAGAGATTGCTAGTGGATCAAGCTTGACCAATGACACTGTGGACCTGTCCTCCAGTCAGCCCCAAGCCTCCAACTGGTCAGCACCACACATGCTCACACAATTCAAGGATTAATTTCTCAAAGTGTCTTTAGGTTGATCTTTTCTTCCAGTTATTGCAAGCTTCCTAGAATATTTATACTGTTGTATAATACATACGGTCCAGTAAAAACAATACCGTAGAAAATGCAAATCTACTCTCCTTCAGTGGATAACAAAAGGTCTGCAAAACGCATGTAAAAGCTTTTCATATCCACACAATTACAATTTTTGATTCTGTCTGCTTGAGACCCTCCTCAGCTATGCAGGGCAAGTTGAATGGAGTCACTCAGGAATCTGACTGGTTATGTAGAGGTGCATGAGTATTATGTAAATGCTCACCTCCCAGTCATTGTTTCATAGGGTGTTTTGCATTAGTCTCCAGGTACTTACTCTATTAAACATTTTGCAGTCATCGTATGCAAGCTAGAGTAATTTGGATGGTTGTGTTGTGACCCTATGCTGGACTAGTCTGTTTTTTTTTTTTGTTTTTTTTTTTTTTTTTTTTTTTTTTGTTGTTGTTGTTTTTTCCCCACCAAGGCCTTAAAGTGTCTGAAGTAGATGTGTCATCTCAAACAAGTTCTTTGCATTTTAAGGAAATGCTCACAGCTCCAACACTCTGCTAGTTTAGAACTAACACGCACGTGTTCCAAGCCAAAGATGCCTTGTCTAAGGAATACCACATACAACATCTAACTTATGCAGTGGTGGTGTCGTTGGCCTCGGATAACAAGCTGTTGCTAATGGTGATTTACTCTCTGCCCTCAGGAGAAAAGGCAACACTTCCTCTTCTCCAATGGTGGTTTGGAATAAACAGAACCCTTTGGACGACCGCCTCTCCCACACAGCAAATGACGCCAGGTCTTCTAGCTCCTCATCCAATCAGTCGGAGCATGGCGACACTCGTACTGGCAGCAGCCCATTGGCTGTTCCAGGGAGAAGGTGAGGGAGTCAATGTAGCTTAAGCCGCCAGTTCAAGTTTGCTCGACTGCGTACTTTTACACACTTAACACTTTGGACAATCACCAGATGCACCTTCTCAGCTCTGCTTTTACTTACGAGCAGTGAAATACAGTTGCTACGACAGTGCAACCACTGCTATACTGTCATCTGAACCTGTTAAAATGTTCAGGGCCTGGTTTGGAGTGTTCCACTTCCTCTATCTAGAAGTCTGATCAGCTTCTTTGTCAGCTTTGAATTCTTCTTTCATTTCTGTTTCTATCACTTCCCTTATTTTGAGTTCAACTGCACCGTTTGACGTATTCGGAAATTTTCCAAATCAGATAGCTTGAAGTTCTCAGTCACTTAAATGCTGTTATTAGGCAAGTGTATGTGGAGGATTTTGTTGCATAGTACCTGCTCATTTCCTTTATTACAAAACTGCAACTGCAGAGAGAAACTTTCTTTCTTCAGTAAAAGAAGTCTAAACTTTTAAACACTCTCAGAAACCCTGTGACAGGTACAAGTACAGGAAAAGGCACAAACCCTCTGAACACTTCCCATCCTAAGGAAGACAAGATGGTCTACATAACATGCTCTTTGCAGTTGTAGGCCAAAAAAGGTTTAGTGCATAACAGACCTGCTTTGTGAATGGATTTTGACAAATTGGATTCCACTCTGTCATCAACACACATGACTTTTTAAGCTTTAAGTGATTGTATTGTATAACTGATTTTTGCAAAGCTCCGACAGTATGCAGCTGCATCCAAAAGCAACAAATGCTGTGTGCTAAACAGTTTCAGCTTATTCAAATTTGCAACATCTTATTAATTTGTATCACTTTTATCTAGCAAGAGTACTTGAATAAAATGGATACATTTATGAGACTGTGTTCATGGATTGTCCTTAACAAAAAGATTTAAAGTATATGGTAAGAAATGCAGACATTGGTACCAGTGTTGAGACTCGGGCAGTATTTGGCTTCTCCAAAACGGGACAAAGTGGAGAATGGAGTGGTGTCTCCTTAGAAATCAAAATCAGTGTAGTCCCATTTGAAGGCTTTAAGATTTCATATCATTCAGCAGTTACAACACAATATTCTAATGTCATACATCTGGCACAACACTATGGTTTTGAGAAAAAGGTGCTATTGCAAAAAGTCCAATGTAAGGTAGACCATACAATGATACATGCAGAAAGAAATCCAACAATCATGACTCCCTATGAGCAAGCACTTTGGCAAAAAACTCCTTTTTAACAGGAAGAAACCTCCAGCGCAGCCAGGTTTAGGGAGAGGTGGCCATCTGCCACAACCGGTTGGGTTGGGGTGAGGGAAGGAAGACGAGACAAAGACATGCTTTGGAAGAGAGCCAGAGATTAATAACAAGTACGATTCAATGCAGAGAGGTCTATTAACAGCTGACTGTGGACCCAAAGCCTAAAACATCTTGGATGCATTATAGGAACAAATATAATGGTTTTGTTTTTTTTAACACCACTTGTTATCAGGATACAACTCGTTTGCTGATACAGACTTGAAACTGAGTCGGGGTATCATAAATGGAGATTGCTCCACCACAAATTTCAGTCATGCTACTGATCAAGATGAGCTCTGGGGGCTTTCTTTTACTTTTGTCCCTCTTATCTGTCTCTCAGGTTAGCAGCGGACTGTGCTCGGTCAAGTTCCTCCCTCTCTACAGATTATGGTAGTTGGCAGATAGTTTCCGGTTGTGGCAGCATCCATGACCATACCCATTTCCCTCCACCTTTGGCCTCGGCCTCATCCTCCAACTCATCTACTGCTATCGCTGCCTACGACTCCCCCCTGCCATTCAGCTTTCAGGATGAAGCCAGTGGACGAATGTAAGTACCTCTCCACTGGTAGACAGGTTTCAGTCCCGTAAGAGATTTGTAGATGGCATGGTTTCATAGTCTTAAACAAGAGGTTCACTTCCCAGTGGGACAAGGATGCAGAAAAGCAGACTGTCACCCTTTTCTCAGTTAGTAACAAACAGCTTAGACTTCTTAAATTAAACCACGGCTAGCTTTATGCTCGGGTATCTCCTCCTTCATTCCAACACTGGATCTGTTTGCCATTACAGGGTCCACAGTTTATTGTGAAATTTTCAGTTGTGATACCATTTTTATTTTGTGCCAGTTTAGGATCTCTTTAGCAAATCAGTAACCATAGTTTGTGCTGGGCTGTATGACGGTGTAGTAAGAGTTTGCTGGTTTCAGTTACTTTAGCATTGGTTGTGCAAACCTACATACAAAGTGATCTTTGTCATTAGTCTGTATTTCTTTTCAGTGTATCTGTCCCTACTGTTCTTGACTATAACAGTGTTTCCTGGCTGTTAACACACTCCTGTGCTACCAGCATGGTAAATTGTCTGTGTCACAAATGTTGTGTTTTTGAGGTGACCGTGCTAACCACTGTCACTTAACAAAGTTCCTGGTTTGGACCCCAGGGTGGGGCCTCTTATGGCCTGTGGGGTGTCCTCCCAGGGCCTGTGGGGTGTCCTCCCAGGGCCTGTGGGGTGTCCTCCCAGGGCCTGTGGGGTGTCCTCCCAGGGCCTGTGGGGTGTCGTTTTATCACCGATTCGGACTTGTTCATGGCTGTTAGGTTAATTGTATGAATATATGAGTAAATGTACCACATTTGATCACATGATCAGTGATGGTAGAGAAATGCATAAATGTCAGTCCATATGAAGTTGACATAATTAGAACCATGAGGAGGGTGGACGTCTCATAGAGGTCCCATTACTGGGGAATACCAGCTCTTTTGACCAATAACAGGGTTCAGAGAAGGGCCTAATGACTGTCTAGTGCTGGCAGCTGTAGCAGTGCATAAAGTTGATAAGGTGGGGTAGTGTTTGCCATGGAAGATCAATGTAATAAAAGGGCTCAATGAGTTAGGCACATTAGTGTTATAACTAATGTTTGACCATATTTCAAACTGCAATCACATTATCTTGCCATTTGTGCTGACATAATTGACATGAATAGTGCTACTTCTAATACGGCACTATCATAAAGTTTGTTTGTGCTTTTATCCTGTCAAACAAGCTTTGATTTGTCAGGAAATTGTTTTTTAAAAGTTTTTGGAACCAGGGCACTGAAATGTTCAGTAGAGGTGGCTTACTGCCCAGTAGACAATGAGAATTGGGGAGATGCATTTCCACTGGGTCCTCCCTTTGACTCATCTGCCTTCTCTCTGGTCTCAGCAGGAGATGCATTTTCTCAGACCTTTACCTCCATCTTATCCCCCCTGCTTATTTCCTCTGTCCTCTCCAGGTGTTCCTTCCCCTCTGAGCGTCAGGCCCGTCTGGAGGCAGTACGTGAAGCCTTCTTGGCAGCCTACAGCTCCACTGTCGGCCTCAAATCCTCAGCTCCCAGCCCCTCTGGTGCCATCTCCGGCCTGCTGGAGCAGTTTGCCCGTGGGGTGGGCCTCCGCGGCAGTAACGCCATCGTCTGAGCCTCTTGATGGGACCCTGGACCCTCCTGCTTACATCAGTTGATTCAGCATGTCTGTGCCAAACAATCCCCTCTTCAATTTTAGGGGTGAAGCATTATTTTTTTTAATATTTTAATATATTTTTTATTTTTTAACATGCCCTCCATTTTATTTTATTTTTCCCCTGTGGACTTTAAATGTCTGAGGTTTTTGTCACATTCAGGAAGGGAAATGGTTTCAAAAAGGGATGGTGATAGATTTAGAGGTCTCCTGTTATTACAGTGTAAAGAATTCTGCCTTGGCCTGTTTATAGATTTGTAACTCCATGTCCAGTAAACAATATCACTTGATTTCTTTTGCTTATGCTGCTATTCTTCACTGATCCAAACAGTTCTGTAGTTCTACTGGGCAGTGGAAATGAGACAAAAAGCTTGATGGGTCCCCCCCCCCCCCCCTCAAATTGTCTCCTAAAAACAGAAAAGATTCGATGCTGTTCAGATTTTGAATCTGGCTCAGTACTTTATCCGATCTGTTTTACTGCATAGAGCTTCATATTTGTGGGGGTCTAAAGTTAAAGGGCTTTTGGTGTTGACGTTCCCATATAGGAAACATTTAGAATAGTTGACTCCTGCGCTTTTTGATTTGTTTTTTGTTCCCCCAATGACCCATGAAAGCTTTAGCTGAAAGACCTTGTATAGTCTGACCGTTGTCAACTTGGTTTAAAGAGGACTCTATTATGCTGCTTTCTTATTTTACGAACTACTCAATGCCAGATATTTGGTGCCTTGAAGTGGAACAAAATAATATTGGACAATAAAAACTTGGTAAAAACTGAAATTTTTCTCCAACAATGCAGTTTGGCTTTAGTTGGCACCATTAACTGAACAAGCCAAATGCTGTCTATTTGGTTATTACTCTGTTTGAACCTCTACTTTGACTGGTGGAAACAGGACTGTGGCCAAAAGGCTGGTTAAGACCAGTTATCAGCAACAGTCTTTTGAACGTTTCAAGCTGCCAGCTAGACACTGCAGAGGTTATCACTTAAGTCAAAATGCTAAGGTGTATATGGATGCATTGCTTTTAAACTCTTGTCCAGGGAAGCTCGATATCATACTACATGCAAATAAAATTAGTCTGACTGACAGATCAAATTATTTGCTTTGTAATTTTATAGGAAACGCTTAAATTTCAGGAGCTAAGATTTACATTAACCCTTTTTTTTTTTTTTTTTTTTTGGGTTGAGTAGTTGCAAGGAAAAAACTGACCTTAGATTTATGTGATACTTTAAACTTTTATAGAAAGACTAAATATAAGGACTGTTCCGTCATGGCTCTCACAGGGTTGATTATTATTATTATTATTATTTTTTAACCTTGCCAATTACAGTATCACCATATTGACTCATATCTGTTAAAGGTTTAGTGACTGTGAAGAAGCACTGAGCATTTTGGTAGCAGATATGAACTAAAGGCCTTTTCGATGTTTCTCGTCCCTCCAGTGAAGGGAGGTCTGCTTCATTCCTGCCAGTACTGAGATTCCTGCCCAGCTATTATCACATTCACCTCCTTTCAGGTCACACGGGGACTTTCCTGCCCACTCAGTTGGGTCAGTTCATACTTAAGTTGTAAACTAGCCTATCGGTGTTGCCAAACTGTTTGACAGTTGCTGTACCTCAGGGCCTTTCTGTTGTGCCTTTTTTTTTTTTTTTTTTTTTTTTTTTGGTCCCGCCTCTTAATTTAGCACTGGATGAGTCTTCTGTCCAGTTTCAGGTATATTTTCTGTTAAATGTGTGCATTTAATTTTTAAACATTTTTGTTAAAGAGCTTTGTCTTAAGAGTTGACTGCAGTGAAACCTGTGAGGCTTTCATGTGGTTGCGGTTTGTACAATGACATAACGCTGAGTTTTGTGGAGATGTTGGATATCGGGCAGCAGTCTTTCAGTTCTGCCTCTGTAAATGGCAGCTGCTGAAAATGACTGGTATCGTAATTTTTATTTTTTTTATGAATATAATATCCTCTTGGGAATTTTGGGAAATGTACTCAGGATTGAGATGAAAAGGTTGGCACCAGTGTTTCTGGGATAAGTGCAGCGCTACAACAGAATGTCTAGCCATGATTTGGATCAAGAAAGATTAAACCTTTAAAAGAAGACTTTAGAGCTTTGTTATATAGAGATGGTCTTGTAGGAGAGTGGAACAGCTTTTAACTTTTTTTTTATTTTTTTTTTTATTTCCCCCCCCCACTGTGAAAATAAAATTTTGGACAAACTTGAAGCCAGCAGTTTTTCCTTGGTTGAGCTAGGCTATTCTGAGTCGCCGTCCTTGACACATGCACAGCCTTATTTTCGCTCTTGAGCCATCTCCCAAAATCTTGAATTAACAGAATGTTTCTTTTGCTATACCTAAAACCAAAGTCTGTTTTCTTTATGCCTCAGATCATGAGCTGAGGCGTTTTAAGTCACTTGAATACTTACTGTATCCAGATCAATTTTAAATAATCCTGACACAGTAACTACTCTGAATGTGGCGTGTACCAGTTCTTTGCACGGGCTGCCAGGGGTTTAATCTTGTACTTCCAAAGAGACTAATGGAACAATCTGCCCTGTTTTGATGTAATGAAAGTCTGACTGTTATGACACCATCTCCCTGTCAGGTTTTGAGCTTTCTCCTTAAATTCAGTTCTCACATTTATCTGTGGTTTGGCATAGTCTCTAGCATTCAAAAAACATCGTCAATTTTTTTTCTTTAAAATTTTTAATAAAAACTAAAACACGCCACCCTCAGTCTCTCAGTTGGGGTAAATCATTGTTTCACAAATGAGGTTTTAACTTGTTGAAATGCTGCATTGCTCTTGTCTAGTGTCCTGTGTAGAGTCTTCTTTGTATATCTGATGCATTTTTAAAGAATGCTTTTTTTTTTTTCTTTTTTCTCCTTTTGGGTTATCAAATACCATTACTTGTTGATGGATGTCGAGCTACAGTTGAAAGTGACTTTAACTCCAGGTGGCAATTTTGAATAAAGGAAAAATAATAATTCTTGGTCAAAGGTTTTTGTTTTTGTGTGGTCTTTTTAATCTTTTTGGGGGGAAAGATGAAGGCCAGAGAAACCTGTTCACTGTCATACAAGTGAGATTCATAAATCTAGTTATATCATTGTAACCCTGAAGGACCCGACACGACTCAGGATGCTCCCTTTCAGATTTTTATTCTATTCACACAGGCTCTGTTTGTGGCTCACTGCTCACTCAGCTGCAGCCGAGCCACCAACCACACACGCCCACACCGCCCCCTGGCCTATGGACCACTTTGAAGTTAAAAGGCTGGAGGGCCAGTTACCACTACGGTGGTCTTTTTTTTTTTTTTTTTTTTTTTTTTTTTTTTTCTTCTCTTCCCCCTCCTGGCCACCTGTGCCTCAGTTTTATCCCACAACTTAGATACTCACATTACTTAACTCTCATGACACACATGTATAGGGTCTTGGGGGGTGGGCACACTAAACAGCGTCCAGAGGTCTGTTTATTCAGCGTCACCTCTGGTGCCGGTGCCCACCTCTCAGTTTTAAATACATGTAGACATTGAGGGTTCTCGGGAGGGGCCGTGCTGACACTAGCTAGTATCTGGCAGAGGGTCGCTGGCACAATGCCCCCCTCCTGTTGTAAATGCACCTTAGAACAGCACGCATCAACACCAGATATGAGCAGGCGGAGTGAGGTATGGGGTCTTCAGACACCCCCGTTCTGTTTGATATCGGGGGCGCTGGGAGGAGGAGCCTTCTGGTCGGGATCTGGGCTCTTGGGCTTTGCTGCTGCTGCAGGACCGGGAACGGTCTGCTTGTCTCCACTCCAGAGTAAAGGGAGCCATCTCCTGGGTCTGGGGTGGATTGTCCCTCTGGGGATGATGGTGCCTGGACCTGGGAGTAAAGAGTAGGTGTGTGTGTGTGTGTATGTATGTAGTGTTCACGTCTGTGTGTCTCCCTGTTGAGTGAGTGCTTAGTATTTGTATTTGTGTGCATGAGGCTGGGAATGCACATTTATGTGTTAGGTCGGGTCTTAGACTCACCTCTGTCAGAACATCTCAGGCCCCTCCTGGTGTGGGGGCCTATCTCCCCCCACCACCACACTGCCAGTGGCTGATACTTGAGCACCCAGCCTCGGCAGGTGGGGGTAAGTACTGGCTCACTCCCAGCGGCTGCTTGGTGGGGCCTGGCCCCCCTGGCTCGGTTGGGCCCCTTCTGGGGTGTGGAGGGGTCTCGGGTCTCTGCCCTGTGCTCAGTTTGTTCTGGCATAGCTGGCTGCCAGCGGCGCCTGCAGGCTCGTCGTCACACCTCCCCATGGTTTCTGCACCACAACCCTGTCCGGGGCTCCCCTCACCTCTTTTCTAGGTGGGTGGCGCGACTGCCCCTGTGGTGGTCTGGGGGGCTCTAGATGTCTAGGGCCTGGATCTCTTGCATGCCTGCTTCATGTCCTGTGGTGCAGGGGCTGTGGCTCCCCCACACAGACAGTTATATGGAGCAACCTTATGAATACAAGTGCACTCAGTTGCTTCCATGTGTTTGGCTGATTAGACACTTGCAGGTGTACCTATTTTAAAATAGCTGATGTAGATGGAGTGTAGATTGCTGTGTGAAGCCAGCAGAAATAAACCTTTATAGCCTGGCATTAAAAATAACTGCTGATTGGGTTTTTTAATGAGAATGAGGTAAGTAATCCATGTCTTCTGTGTTCTTCCAAGAGAACGATGGGTTACTGTGGACATGTCCAACTGTGTCAAAAACACAAGGGCTTGTTTGCCCTTTACTGTGGTGAAAATAAGCCTTCATAGCTGTGAGTTTAATAGAATGTTGTTGGACATTCAAACGAATGGAAAACATACTGTTAACATTTATATGGCTCTGATGTTTGTCTAAATCACTGAACATGCTGGTAGCCAAGCAGTGAAGCAGCTGGTGGCAGTGAGAAGTAACGTCCGGGGAGAGCGGTCACACAACCTGACCACTACAGGCAGGCAATATTTCGTTTGCTGTAACATTTAGTTTTAAATATATTAGATTTAACATTTAGTTTTAAATATAAAAAGTTACAAATGTTTTTGTAAAGTTGTAATTTACAAATTGCAAATTAATTTGTAAAAGTGACTCGAAAAAACATGTTTTATAAGGTTTGGAGCTAAATGCGGAAAAATGTTGCCCTAAATTTCAGCATGTTTCAGTTTACAAATGGCGCCCTATATGGTTTTGCCTCAGTTTGTTTTAAAAATTTACAGCGATCTGTGTGTATATAAATATAAAACAATCTTATAATGTTCTCGAAAAGGTCTTTCTTTGCATAGGCTCCCTTTTGGGTTTTTTTTTGGCACAGATCACTTTCCATACCAGATTCCTTGTCGAGCCCAAATACGGCTGAAAGATTTGTGGATGTCTGTCTCCACCTGGCGACGAATTAAGAGGACAGAGGCGCAGAGAAGCTTGAGCATCCGGTTCTGTCAGCTTCGCTCTCTCTCTCGCTCTCTCTCGCCGTAAATGAAAGCCTCATCCTCAGGTATGCCTCCTAACCCGATGCGCTCCAGCGGCAACAACAACTACTACTACCGGAGGCGGCCGATTCACACTCTCGGTTTGATGGAACACACACACACAGCCAAAGGAAAGTCTGCGCTGTAATAAAAGTACGAACTTCAGGGACTGAGAACAACTGATTTAAAGAAAATAAATAAAAAAATAGCCTCGGCCATGGCGACAATAGGGGATTTCGACCCACTCAACTCCATCGTACCTGCTACAAAGATTGAAATCACCGCTTCTTGCAGGTAAGCCCCGGATCTTTGTGCTCTGACAGATTTAGACATTACTTGATGTTTGTAATTAAAGTCAGTTTTTTTTCTTCCAGATGTTTTATTTTTATTCAATCCTATATTCTCGTGCGTAATTTTCTGCCCTCGATACACTTTTCCATGTTTCCATTCCAGTGTTCCTTGTCTTTATCCTGGGCTAAACAACTCTTTTTTTTTTTCTTTTTTTTTTCTTTTTTCTTCAAAGGAGGAATTTGCATGTGCTGTGGGTGTTTAAGTGCGTGGGGTTGCAGCAACCAACCGTAGCAGGATTTATTCCGAGTGTCTCGGAGAGCTCCGGAGAGTGCAACTCTCAGATCACATGAATACATAGATATTAAATGTACCATCTGTCTAAAAAAGAAAAGAAAAAGATTCGCACACCAACAGTGTTCAGTGTTCAACAGTGTTCAAAAAAATAAAATAAGTTATGGTCTCTTTCAGTTTTATGTCTTAATTTATAAGCAGGATATCAGAGCACGGAAACTGCGCTCCAGCACTGTTACACAGTAGTTTGTAAATAGTTATTAAAATCTCAATATTTTGGATTTTTAATGAGCCTATAGAGCAAGAGAATAAGATGTAAAAGTATGCAAGGTGCTTAAACGTGGTCAAAGTTTTGATGTGTACTAGGAAGAGGGTCTAAAATCTAAGCGACATAAAAAATGAACGAAACACGTCCGCTGGAGTTCGTGCTGCAGGATGAATGATCTCCTCCCATAGGTTGACTCACGTACAATTCCCCCCACCCCAGCGGAAAAAATGATAGAAAGAGGGACTGGATGAAAAAAATACTAAAACAACAACATATGCTCACCAAGAAAAAGAAGTCTCACCCCACTGAGTAAAGAAATCTCACCCTTTTAATGTCTTTAACACACAATGTGCTGTGTAGACACATTTTTTTCCTCTAGGGTTTTAGTCATTTTTCTTTCAGATTTTCAGTGATGTTGCCATTTTTCATGGAAATCTTAAAGAAATGTCACCTGCCTTGTTTTCAGTCAGCCTCACTGATGTAGTTTAGATGCACATATATGATTTCATAAAATGAACTGAGATAGGCATGTGCTGTAGCCATGACATGTTTTGAAAATGGATTTATGAAATGCAACGTTGACACACATTTAAGCAGGTAAAGATACAAAAGCACCCATTCACCTTTCCATCCTTCCTTCCTTCCTTCCTTCCTTCCTTCCATTTCCATGTATCCATTTAAGGTTGCATGGCCACAGGGCCAGGACAGATAGACAGATATACCATTCGCACTCACAGTTACACTTATGGAAAATTTAGAATGACCACTTAACCTAACTCCATTAATTTCGTGACTTTTCTATAAAATTGGCTGTAAATTCTTAATAAAAGCTGAAAATCTACACTTCAGTCACATCTTAATTGTTTGATTTAAAATCTGCTGTGGTGGTGTACAGAGCCACCGTTGCCAAAGAATATTTAATTGTCCAAAACTGTGTGTTTGAGTAGCTCGCTCAGACTTGCTACACGTAACGTTGAATTATGGTCCCAGGCCCTAAGGAGCTCCAACTGCCTGGGCTTCTTGCATATCATTCCTTTTTTATAATCCAATTAATCTTTAATTTCTAGGCAGTTTGCAGGTCCTTGCTCTCCTCCAAATTTAAAAAAAAAGAGTTCTGTGGCTGTAGCTTAGGAGGTGAGTCAGTCTGCAGAAGATCAGTGATGGACATCTAGTTCCTCCATTCTGCAAGTCAAAATATCCTTGGACAAGATACTAAACCCTGAGTCCCCCCCTATATTCATCTGTGTGTGTGTGTGTGTGTGTGCCTTAGGCACTTAGACATAGAATTTCCTTCTTTATTTGCACATAGCACCACCCATAGCAAATATTCACTTTTTGATTATTTGCTTAAAAGCTGACGATCGCCTAATCAGCAATAACAATTATGAACACTATTATTAACACTGCAGGCCTGCAGCACCTTTTCCATATTTAAAATTCCATCGCAGATCAAATTTTGGTGAGCATTAGGTTATTTATGGTTGACGTACATTGAACGCGACATGTGAAACAATCATGAATGGAACAATTTGCAACATTGCATTTGCAGGGAGATGATTATTTATTTAGATGTTAATTTTTACATTTTAAGGAGGAGATATATGAACATACATATGCTATGCTCGTTATAGCACGAAGATTAAAGAATGAACTAATTGATAATCTGTGCTAGGAAAGGACGAGGGACAGGGTCACCAGTCTGCCACAGGGTCAGGACAGATGTACCATTCACACTGGAACGACAACTTAACCCAACCCCACTAAGTTCATGACTTTGGACTGTGGGAGGAAACCTGGGGAGAACCCAAATAACACGGAGAACACAGAGAACATGCAAACTCTGTGTGCTTGGCACTGTGGGGATCAGGCAAATCTGGTAGCTCTTATTTCATTTGCACTGCCAGAATGTGTCTGCTCTGATTTTGCAAATTGATTTTCACCTGCTTCTCTACGCTAATCATAGCTCGTTATATGCTATGGGTGGGTTTAAAACTGAAGTGTTGGGGAAACCGTGACAGTGAGATTTATGGCTGAGCAACTGGAGACCCTTCGAGTTTGGTCCTGGTTAAAGCCCTTATTCAAAGGCTTTACAAAAAGGAAACACTGACAGATTTTTTTAAAAAAAGTTATGTATGCAGGTCAGCACTCTGTAAAATAAGCCTTCAGTATATTTAATTAAAACTTGAATCCTTCAAGGGAAGCCAAAGTTTTGGGGGACTAACTCTAGTTTTCTTGATATTTGTAAACTGAGTTTTTAAATACTTGTATATGTTAACATCAGAATTTTAATATTAACTGATAAATCCTATGCATCACTTTAAATGTGTCCTTTATTAATTATGAACTGACAGCATGGATATTTTTTGTATTATTTACATTTTTTATTATTATTTGTTTAGGTAAACATAACAGAGAATTGGATGCCTTATAAATATCTGTCTTTTGCATTTCAATTAAGCAAATTTCCTCATCAGAATTAAGTGTCTGACCACTAAGCATCCATGTCTGTTGTTATCCTCAACATATTTTTATAATGACTTTCACTTTCACGACTAGTCTCACTGCTCTTGACTAGCTCCTTTCCAGCAGTAGCCAGCACCACTCTGTGTTAATAGTAAAAGCTAAGAAATGACTGAGTTATGTGATGGTAGCTATCTCATATATTGAGCTGTTTTTGTTCCACAAATCAGTAAAAGCAATTTCAAAAATTGGCATGAAGCCACAGCTGGCTGTCCTTCCTGCATAGATCACCTGTGTCAGACTTTGAAAGAGAAGTTCGTGCATCCTCTCAGACAGCAGCATTTCCATGTCCTAGGTATGCTGTATGCTGATAGTGTCTGAAGACGCTGATCGTGACAAGCTGTTCCTGGACCTCAGTGTCTCTGGGCACCAGCAGTCCAGAGGGTTTAGAAGGGAGCTTTCTCAGCTCCCTGACACTGACAGAATAGGGTTGGCTCAGTGGGCCCCAGAAGGATCCTCACTGCATACAGATCAAGCACACACAGCTGTGAGTAAGGAGACAAGTAAGGGAAGTAAGTCATCAGGAGAGGGAGACTGGGTTTTTGAAAAAGTGAAGTAACCTTGTTGTGGTTAACATTATGGTGCTAAAGCTTTGAGCACCATTCATCAGAACAGGTGACCAATAATTCTGATAAACATCAGTGACCCAACAGGAAACGGTGACTCTCTAAACACAGGGATCCTTAATCATGTTAATCATGGCTGCATTTCATTCAGATGGATCCTTTCTATAGAGTAGCTTGACCTCCTCACAAAATGCTAATTGGCCCCTCAGTAGGTCAGCATTTCCACCAAAGACACCACAGTGACACTGACACAAAGCTGCTTTCACACTGTTTGTGAGATCTCGCAAAAGTTCATCGTAATTTTTTTCTCCCATGTCCCTTGCGGGGGTCCGTAGTAACCCTCTGGGGTCCAGGGTATAATTGGCCATTTTTAACCACTTTTGATGTTCCCTCCACATTTCCCCTTTAAAAACTGTTTATTTGCTTTGTTTGGTCTCATTCTTTTCAGCACAACCTCACGTGTCTGAATTTACAGTCATGTTTTCATTTTGACTGTATTAACACAATTGATCTAAAATCAGACAAAAAACATAAAATCAGAGTAGAAAGTTATATTTTTACTGTAACAACCACAAACATGTTTATTGAATCATATTTCATAATTGTCAATTTTAAAATCATATGCACAATCTTTGCAAACAACAAGGTTTTTGCAGCCATTTACCTTTTTCCCCCCCTTTTAAATAACCATTTCAAACTATTTACAGAACAATCAGCTGTTCTGCATTCAATAAGATGCCACACAAATTATTTGTGCCACTGCAATAATTTCTGTCCATTAGAAAGGAGAACATCACACCTGTAAACGTCAGTAAACGTGACGAAACCATTGAGAAAAAACACACGTATATATTGTTGATCATGTCTCTGGTTTTACGCAGCCTATCAACTCAATTTAAAAACTGATATATATCACCTTGTTGGTTTGTCATCTTAAAGCGGTCGTGTGATTGGCTTACCACGACTACTTTATTCTTCCTCAGTCAAACAGCAGCACTCATGCCATTGTTTTGCCCCCTGAGCTCCAGGTGTTGTGCCAAAAAGTGATCGTCGGGCAGAAAGTGATTGCCGCCCGCAGGAGCCGTTAGTAATGCCGTTACTTGTAACAGTTATTCCCATCACTGATAATGTGACGTCAATTTTGTACAATATCATTACAGGATAAACCATGGCATGTTTATTGGCTAATGACCTGACAAATTGTTAGCCAATGAGCACGATGTGTGCCTCAGGGAAATTATTTTCCAGCCAATAAGTACAATATAATTCATGAAAGTTTAGAAATGTTGGTGTTTGGCTTGATGTTTCTGATATATTCATAGCTTTTTCTTTTCGAGCACTTAACTTATAAAATATAA